TAAACTCCCTGTTAAAACCTTGTAAGCCAGTCACTTTGTGCCTTTATCGCCCCCTCATTTTAGGTATCCAGTGTCTAAGTTGCCCTTCCCTATCCACCCTGTGTACAGAGGAGATAGCATTGATACTTGATGTGAAGACTCCTTCCCTCTCTTTTGGTATTTAGAGTTACTACCTCCATGAGTATAGGTCAGGTTCATCACATTGCAGCACTTTACCCTTGATTCATTTATACATTTTTTTTTTTTAATCTTCCTTTGATTATCGAGCCATCAAGGCTGGGTCAAAAGGGTACTGTCTGCAACTTTGGGTGTTTTGTGCATCTCCCCTCACTTCATATCAGCTGGATGCTTCACTCTTAGCTCTAATCCTCTGTGGCTATGGGCCTGTCCATGAGCTCAGGTGTCCCCAAGTCTCACCACAATTTGGACCAACCAGCCCTTCCTCTCCTCTCTCTCTCATCTCCAGGTCAAAGGGAGTTAGTGGACCATGGTTGACTCAGCCCATTTCTTCATTGCTGCCTTTCCCCTCCTCTTCTGCTCACCAGTAAACCAATGTGGTCGCCAGCAAGCTTACATGCCTGCTCATGTGATTCCTTTGAGTTTCAGTCTTAGAGGGGAGTTTGTCCTGATGCTTGCCTGATGTCTTCCTGGCAAGCTGCTTGCTTATTCTTTTAGTAGCCAGTCATGCTGACATTTTTGTTTTGGGTTTTTCCTGATGATATTTCTTTGAAGATGCATCTTCTGTCACTCTAGCTGTTCCAGGCTGGTCTGTTTGTTCTTGCTAGTGGGAATGTCTCACCTCAGAAGGTCCTGGATGGGACTCAGGATTCCACCTAAGGTCCTATTCTCTGCAAAGGCTCCGGAAGAGGCCTATTTCACTGGACAAGTTCTAGAACCCCTTTTAGGTATTCCAGTCAGTTGTAGGCTGAAGACAGGTTTACAACTTTTCTGTAATCATGTTTCTCAACATTTCTTTCAGTCCCACTCAAGTGTCTATTTTACAACAGTAGGCAAGGGAACCCAATATTCACAAGGCAGTCAAGCATCTCAGAATTATTTCCCCTCTTCAAACTATGCCTAGATCCCTATATCACAGAGCCCTGTTGTTCCAAGGTTGAGCATGCATCACTGTTTACTTCTGTCCCACTTAGGCCATGCAAAT